AATGGTAAATAAACACGAAATGTATTTACTACCAAAGTCTAGAGAGTATTTTCTTATTCATGTTGTTTGTGCACAGGGCGGGCGTGCGGTGTACCTGTGTGTTGCAGATGAGCATTTGACTGGCATTTACAGGTGATTATCGGCAATAATAGGCGAAATAGAGTAGAGAAACATTAAGACTTTGGTAGTAAATACATTTCGTGTTTATTTACCATTCTTTTTTTATTGAGACGTTCCAAGTGCCTGTGGGTACACCGCGATGACGACCGTTTTTAAGGACGGTCCCTGAAAACTCGCGAGAATCAATTCGCACGACGAAACGTGACTGGACATCGACATTTTTAATTCATAAGGTCCTCTCAAGACAGCAGCAACAACAGAAACCCGACGTTTTCCGTCGCAGTCAGGCTGTTCTGAAGCCCTAACAGAGACACACGGATAGACAAGCTTTTGTCTGCGAGCCTGCCTTTCGTGCCACTTTGCAGCAAACCACCTGCTGTCGTCGGTGTTCCGATATTGGCGACGTTTTGTTTATCGATATTCGCGGACGTGCGAGAGCGCCTCTGTTTACATGTAACCAAGGGCAATCGCAGACGAGAGATGTATGAATAAGTTGCCAAGGTCGCAGCGTCAGTGCGTTGGGCTGGTGCGCAGCGTCGGTACGTTTTGGAACAAAAGTTGCAGATGGCACTCGCATGCAGTATTTATTAGAATCGATGCAAACTCGAATATTCGGCGTGGATACCAACTCGAATATTCCGCGTGGATACCAACTTTAATGCGTCTAGTGGTGTTATTGTGCGTGAAAATCATTTGCCTTTGAAATACCATCTGGTTCCTTTCTCATTGGCCGATAATAAGGAGAGTGCACCACTATGCGTTGGTGATTGGTGGCGCAGGGGTGCGGTTGGTACAGTGATGAGGGAGTGGAGTTGGTACAGCGATGCTGCTGCTGCTGCTGCTGATGATGATGATGATGGTGGTGGTGTTGATGATGCTGCTGCTGCTGCTGCTGCTGCTGCTGCTGATGATGATGATGATGATGATGATGCTGATGATGGTGATGATGATGATGCTGGTGATGCTGCTGCTGCTGCTGATGATGATGATGATGATGCTGCTGCTGATGATGATGGTGATGATAATGATGCTGGTGATGCTGCTGCTGCTGCTGATGATGATGATGATGATGATGATGATGATGATGATGATGATGATGCTGATGATGATGATGTTGATGATGGTGATGATGTAGGATTAAGTGGGTGAGATGATGTAGGATTAAGTGGGTGAGATGATGTAGGATTAAGTGGGTGAGATGATGTAGGATTAAGTGGGTGGGATGATGTAGGATTAAGTGGGTGAGATGATGTAGGATTAAGTGGGTGAGATGATGTAGGATTAAGTGGGTGAGATGATGTAGGATTAAGTGGGTGAGATGATGTAGGATTAAGTGGGTGAGATGATGTA